ACAATACGAACAAGCAAATAAGACATTATGAACTTGGCGTAAAATTTATATTACTCTAGATTTATATATAGCTTAATTTTCCAGCTTATTGGATAAATCATATTGCTCGATCTATCGATTTTCGTATGAATGTCGTAAGGGGATAACTTTAATAAAAAAGTAACCTTTTCTTGTTTAACTCTGCTACAGTTTTGCGGCAGCATCCTATAGAACAGAGATAGATAGTCTTTTTCAGTGAGTTTGATGTTCTATTATTAATTAAATTGTTATAGGTAATTGTTTATATATTTATTATTTATAGGAGCACTACAATAGCATTAGCAGTAAAAAGTAAATTGCAATATTCAAAAGTTTTATAGCCCTTAAGGAATAGCAGAATAGGATACGTTTAAACATATCACATACACACATGTGCCACATGTACATATAAATACTTCATAAGAAATTGACTTGTATAATTATAGGTAAATACTAATATATGTCCTAATAACTGAAGCGGTACAATATTATTAGCGGTAAATAGTGGTTATACCCAAAGTCGCTCTGGAGTCTTTGGGTTATGCGCTAGTGCGATGCACGACTGCAGCTGACGCCAGACGATATTGAATTCATCCTGTAGTCAAATCAGCTTTCTCATGTTATCTTCATACATATTTAAAAAATTTTCGTAAGCGATAAATTGTGTAAATAATTTGCAAGCATTGTAATGTTAGCCAGCGAGCTTATTCCACTGGGCGGGTATTGAATGTAGAATAAGTTATCAATGCAAATAAGATGACGTAATATGCTTGCTTCTCCTAGTAGGTAAATTTTAGCCTGCTACAGCATTTGATAAACTATAGTGAAGGAGCTGGATGTATTAAATTAGTAAACGAATGAGGCTGTTGCCTGTAATCTAGCTTATAATAATTATCTCGCTTAATACAGAAAATATCATGGCTAAGCGTTCTGAGTTTGGTGTGTAGACTGTAAGATTTACCGCATATCCATAATTAGCCGCGCATGTACAATAATTTAGTCTCATGCAAGTTCTGAGGCTATAAATATGCCTTAGGGGAGAGTAGGGTACAATGACGAAATCATGAGTCATACTGACTGTGAAGCAGTTGGCCAGTTGAAGAATAAAAGTAATTGCAAACATACTTGAATTATTATGGTTGCAGAAATGATGTCGTTACGATAAACTGGAGGCTGATGGACTAAATCCATTTCAATCAAATAACTCCAATTTACTTTAGGTAGAATAAAAATTTTTCATCAATTGTTAATTTAGTACTGGAGCTGAGTAATAATTGTAGCATGAACGTAAGAATGGTTCTTAGGGCTATTACACCAATAAATTACTACAATTTACCTTCGGTAGAGTTAAAGTTTTTCATCAAATGTTAATTAGTGTTGGAGTAGAGCTCTAATTGCTCTATAAAAAGTACTATGCGATGTAAGGGTGGGGTGGTTCTCTTGGCTATAACACCGATAAATAGCTCCATTTTGCTTTCGGTAGAATAAAATTTTGTCATCAATTGTTAATTTAGTACTAGAGTAGAGTTATAATTGCAGTATAAATGTAAGGGTAGAGTGGTTCTCTAGGCTATTATACCAATAAGTAACTACAATTGCTTTAAACATAATTAAAGTTTTTCATCAATTGTTATTAATTTAGTATTGAAGTTGAGTTATAAAAGTAGCTATAGTATGTGATATTCCAAATCAGCCAAGAGCGAACTTATTACTCTAATAGAGTTAGTTACATCTCCAAATGGCTACGATCCTTTTCTACCTTTGCTAATTGTAAAATATCGCTGTAGATCTCTTATGTTATCTATATTTCATCTGAAATTCAGTTTTGGTAATGAAAAAGTCCACGGTAACTTGCTTGTCTTCCCTCGTACATCGTTTTACTAAAAACTTTATCTATTATCAGTGCGATGTTAAGTTAGCAAATTGACTAGCGTATATAATTGTAGATAATCTGCTCTAGTGCAAAATTGAAATATAATTGATAATATAGAAATCAGTGAATCACCCTATCTGTGGCCTATGTGGTTTAAACACTTCATGACTTTATTTTAATGGACTAGAATCCAATCCAGAGGAAAGATGGGTACATTAATGTTAGCGATGTAGGTGGAGTTAATTGCATGATAGAGTATCTAATTTATTAATGGAAGTCATGACTCATAGCTACCATAATAAAGTCATTAACGTGTAATTGCTATAAATAGGGATTGCAGTTATCGATCGTGATACCTTTCGCCTCTCGACTGGCAGCATGTCATCAACACTTTCAGTTTATTAATTAATTCTACCAAGACAGTTAGTTAAAATCTGGGATTAAATTATGCTTATACTAAGCCAGTTTCGGATTTAAGGATAGACATTCAACCATAAAGGATTCCATTAGTTTGGCTGGATATCATCAACAATTTCAGTTTATTTATCAATTCTACCAAGATAGTTAGTTAAAGTCTGGGATTAGATTATGCTTATACTAAGCCAGTCTCGGATTTGAGGGTAGACATTCAACTATAAAGGATTCTATTGACTCATACACGTATCTTCCCAGCTACTAGATGCCAGCAGGAAATCTGCGTATAATAGTCAGCGCTTATGTTTATGTAATTTGGGGATGAATATACAATATCTGCTACTAAGTCTTTAGGCAGATGAAAGCATGTTTTACGATTCATCAACACTCTTATCATGCGGATAAAATTTTTTCTTCAACTATCGCGACGACTAAGCTATCCTTCTGAGATGCTCGGTCTCTAATTTTAAAGTAAGGTCGATACTGAAATTTTAAGCCGCTTTAGTTTCGGTAGCATATTGCTACGACATTAACATAAGTTGCATATCGAGAAAATATTTCATACGTATTTCCATCATACTGTATGACTCGTATCTTTCTAGCTTGTAGATATTGGGAGGAAATAGCACAAAACAGCACTTAGGTTTTAGAGTAATTTGACGATGAATATACAATATCTGCTAATTCTGTCTTTAGACCGATGAAAGCTTGCTTTACAATTCATCAACATCCACTATATGCGAATGAAATTTTTTCTAAACCGTCGCGACGACTAAGCTATCCTTAGATGGCCGGTCTCTAATTTCTAAACTAAGATTAATGCCGAAAATTTAGAACTCGTTTTACTTCGGTAGTGTATTGCTACGACATCAATATGACTTAAATATCGAGAAAGTAAATCATTCAGAATGGAATTTTTCAAATACTAAAAATTTGAAACTCCTTTTGCTGTAATGGCAATGCAACAAGAGTTTGACATCGAGAAAATAATTCATGTAGGATGAAACTTTGAAAATATTGGTTGCTAAATCTTTCAAATTACGTCAAGGATTCTAATCATACAGATAATGGCGTTGATTGCTATTTTTAGTTGATAATTTGTCTAGAAGGTAGATACTACTGTATGAAAGACAATATACTGTATGACTCATATGTTTCCAGCTTACAGATGTCAGCAGGAAAAAGAACAAATAGCAGTTAGGTTAGCGCCATTAGTTTAAGAGTAAATGTATAAGATCTGCTAACTCTGTCGTTGTTAAGTTGATGAAAATTTATTTTACAATTCATCAATATCTACATCATGTGGATGAATTTTTTCTTAACTATCCTTTCGACTGAGCTATTCTTAGATGGCCGGCCATAATTTCTAAAGCAAAATTGATATTCAAAATTTAGAATCCCTTTTACTTCGGTAGCACACTGCTACTACATCAAGACGAGTTGGATATCGAGAAAGTAATTCGCGCAGGATGAAATTTTGAAAATATTAGTTTCCATCATACTGTATGAAAGACATTGTAGTATAACTCATATCTTTCTAGCATGAAGATATCAGCAGGAAATAAAATAACACTTAGGTTAGAGTAATTGGACGATGCAATATATATGGTACCTCTGTCTGCTAACTCAGTTTTTAGGCTGATGAAAGCTTGCTTTACAATTCATTAATATCCACATGTGGATGAAATTTATTTTTTCTCAATCATCGTTCCCACTCAGCTATCCTTCTTAGATGACCGTCGTCTAATTTGTAAAGCAAGATTGATACTGAAAATCTGCAGCCCATTTTGCATCGGCAGCATATTGCTAGACGACATCTATATGAGCTGGATATGGAAAAAGTAAATCATGTAGGACGGAACTTGGAAATATTAATTTCCATCACGTGATTCTAGCCAAGACTAATTTAGATTGCACCATGCTGTTCTATTGACAATTTTCATTACGTGATATTTTAATGATCACAAGCTTACTACCGCAATAAGTCCGTAATGATGATGGATGATTAGCATCTCTGTATATAGAGGGTAGCTAACAGTTCTATATCATGCTGTTTAAACAAGTCCGTAATGGTGATGGGTGATTAGCATCTCTGTATATGGAGGGTAGCTAATAGTTCTATATCATGCTGTTTAAAATCAATAGTCGGCCATGAAAAGAATCAAGTCAATATAATATTAAGGCAATATTCTATGGCTAGATTAAGTGAATAACAGTACTGCAATAGCTATTGTACTTTAGTAGATTGCTTGACATTGGCATATTTCTTCATATGGAAGTTTTATTTACCGTCATCAGTCATATGCTGCACTCTGGACTGCCTAAACAGATCATTTCGTCTCATGTTACTGTTATTGATGATGTGATTTGGGAATAGCTATTGTGTTCAATCCTTCTTTAAACTGGGCTTGACCCATTTACCCGTAGGGCGGATTAATGAGTTTAAAAAGTTAATTTCTTTCATCCTTTCTATCGTGGTGATTATTTTTGCCGTTAGCTTGAGCTGGTCATCACTCGTCCTAAATATAACGGCAGAGAATTAACAAAATTGATCAATCATTTTTTCAAATTATTAAATTAAAATCTATTGCTTTTCTTCATTCTATTTAGTATTATTACAAATAGAAATCAATTTTGTGCTTTTGTGCTGTTGCATTTCTTGACGTTGTAAATATAGTTGGTAGCGAGTATTATCATGGCTACACAATCCACCACGCTCTCTTTGAACCAGATAGTCTGGGCACTTTTTAAACAAGATATTTCACGAGATAAAAGTATGAGAGAATTCTACCTGGAAAAAGCAAAGATCAAGATTGAGAATGAAAAGAAACTAATGAAGTTCTACGCAGAATTTCTTGAAAGCGAAGAGAAAAGAGTTAAAACTAAAGTTCGTACCAAGTTTTCTGAGGTAAACATGGATCATTATTTTTCTATAAGACTGTCATAAACGGAGTAATTAAATGGGTTTGAATTAGTTCCAATTTACTTAATTCCGCTATAAATTCAATTTTCAATCCTATTTTTTATTGGCCATAGCAATGGTTTGGCTGATTATGTCTGATATTGAGATATGTTGAACGCCATTTTGTTTTCCCCTTTCTTCCGTTGCTTTCATTCATAGTATCCCATAACTCCTTAACATCTGGTTAGAGATCTAAGTGGAAAAAATGTCTAACTTTAGCTTCCTTACGTCGAATTGCTTTATAGTTGAGAGTAGTATTCACAAGTCATTCCGTTTCCTCTAATTTCATTATCGCGTTCTCCTAATTAATACCTTCTCTGTTATGTCTCCTACATGTCTAATATTGACTCGTTCATTTTGTTGAAACGCATTGAAATGGAAAAGGATTTTTTAGAGACATTTTCCTTGCTTTAAAATTGATATAAATGTAAAAGACTTAACTTTATTACGGCAGCTCCTAACCTACTAGAAATAGGATAGAATTGCTGACAAGCTATCGGCGTTATTCTACTTATCAGTGGAGTCATGATGTTGAAAGTTATGACTATATTAGTATATCGATATTACTCTACCCATCAGTGGAGTAATGATGTTCAAAATTATTTTAGTATTAGCATAAACTTCGGGACTCTATTTGCTCTACTTTACTCTATTTTAGAGTAGGATTCGAACGATCAGTTATGATATATTATGCATTATCCCTTTCTATCGTGCATAGTCTACTACTGTACATAGTGGCTATGGAATCTTCTCCGAGTTGATATGTTAAGACAATCCGCTACTCTTTTTCTTCTCGAAATCGTCAAGAATAAGTCCATTAATCGGTGCTTAAAATTGCTACGGAAGGGTTTTAAACTATTTTAAAAGTTATAGGTTAAATCTATAACTTGCCGCCTACTGTAAAAGGATAAGATGGCAAACCAGAGCAAAAGTTTGACTTAGTATCTGCTACATTGATGGTGCTAGTAAATATCATGAGGCATTTTACAACCATCTAAATGGCTATATTATAACGGTGCACATGATTGCTCAGTTAAGCTCGGTATAGCATTAGTAGGAATATACATACGTAGTGCTAAAGGAAAAAGTTTTAAGTATTCAGAGATTGAAGTATCGCATATCTAATATTCGTACATTGATGATATGTTGTCAGAAGTATCGGAGTTAATATTGATCATTCTTGAAAGCTTGTTTGCAAGGTTAACATGACACTTTAAGATACTTTATTTTAATCGAAAAGAATTATTGATACTCCTAAAAATGGTGGAAGAATTGACTAGTTTAGTAAAACTTTCAAATTAGTAAATAATTTAGACGATATTTCATCACAGAATGTGGCATTCTTCTAATACGGAACCTACAAGGTAGCATATCATGATTTAAAATTTCCGAATAGGGCGGTTATTGCCTTCGATAAACATTATTACTAATTGGAATGGAAATCGGAGTTATTTATACTTAATAGGTCTTCCAAAGCTCTTTTTACGTCGATGATGTGCCATTTATTTTGATAAATTTTGCAAGCTTTCTGAGTTCTATTTAGTTTTATTTGTTGACGTATGATTACTGACGGGTGAAAACTTTTCTACATGGTGTACTTGAGCAGTATAAGCGTGGATAATAAAAGTTTTGGCACTCATAAACTATCATACTTCGCTTAAGAGTTGTATTATTATACCCTTAGCATAACGTAACTGGTGTAGTTTCAGAAGATTGCATACATTTGCAACGCCAATTTTATACCTATCAGCAAGATAATACTGCTATAATGTATACCGCTACACTCGATACACTGTTCTTGTATACTATAAAAAGGCCCTAATAGATCACGATCGATTTTTGTCGAGTGATTTTATGATAGGATAGTAAATAGGAGTACAGCAATTAAGACAACATAACATTTGCCAGTTGCGATGCTACTGCGCTGGGTTTAATTTGGTTAAAATCAGTATGAAGCAGATTCAATGGTATATGAATTAAAAGGTTTATTTGCTCTAATTTCAACCACAGAAACAAGCAATATTTGAATGTGCTTGATTAATATCTAAAATATTTTATTTTCTTCGATAGAATTGGCTTAATCATCTTCTTGTATCGCGAGAAAAGTCCGAATATAATATCATTCAGGCGGAAAATATTCGGGATACTGAAATTTTAAATGCTATTGATCGGCTTGATCAAATCAATGTGGTACAGAGAAGTTTTTATGCTGAAGAAATGGATAGAATTGATTGTGGCTTTAAGAATCCGTTAAAAAATTTAAGAGAAAAACTGAAAGAATATGATAGGCTAGCAAAAGAATATCAGAAAGATTTAAGCGAATTCGAGCAACATGCAGAAATAGGATATTCCAAGGAAAAAAAATATAATGCAAGAGTTGAAAAGCATCAAAAGATATTTCTACGTTATGCATTGATTTATAATGAGTGCTACGTAGAATATCAAAAGGTTAAATTCCACTGTCAATCTTATTTAGAGGATGTTATTCCAAGTTTATTAAAAGAATTGGAAGATGATTTAGAGCGAATTTTACATCGTAGGTATGGACTATACAAAGTTAATTGCCTACGTTGATCATGCACACTATGTAATTAGATCGCTTCTTGCATTTGGATTACTTAATGGTAGGAAAGTTCTTTTAGATTATGATGCTAAGAAATATTTAATTTTTTAGAAAGGAATTATTCCGCCAATTGATGGTCCACATTTACGCTAGTGATTCTATTCTTAGCATGGAGCACAACAAAGGTTATATGGAAAGTCTTGAAAAGGCTAGTAGCTTGGTTCAAGATGAATATAAAGCATTTACTGATCAATTTACGTACGTATAACAGCTAACGTCATAACTGTAGCTAAATTAGCTGTGTCGAAATGGTATTTTAAACTGTTTTTTCGTAAGAAAGTGATCCCGTAGCTAGAAACTATTAGTGCAAATTAATTTATTTAGAAACTTTATATTTGTTATAGCTAAAGCATAAAATGAGGCTATTGCTTATAATAAGCATTCAATATGGTTGATTTGATTGCTTAAGCAATAAAATAATTAGTTGTGTACTTTTTCCTTACGCTACGCTACGCACCTTCAAGTGTAACGTGAATTCTAGATTTGAAAATTTTATAATCTAGCAGGAGATATATGTTAATGCAAGTTTCTTAAATGTGATGTTAAAGATACAATAGAAATTTAGCAGATAGAGGATCAAAATCAATTTAAATCCTGATTTAGGGTATAGGATAAGATTTTAGATTTCTACTAACATACATATTCATTAAATTCGGGCTGATTGAAATATACTCACGAAAATTTAGAGCTGTCTACTGTAATTAACTTTCTATATATTATGCGAAAGATTAAAGGTACTAGTTTCAGTTTCTTACTATCATCGCATTTATTGTTGCTCTCAATTTTCCTATCTAGTAGAACTTAATAAGATTAAATTGAAAAAAACTGAGCTGATTTGCTGTTTTGAATTATGATGTTATTTCTCTTATCTGTTAATAGATCTGTCAGTAACAGCTTAAAAAAAGAATGGAAGACTTCGATGGATGCGATATTGGTCGAACATCCCCATTTGAATAACGTAGTGCTTAGAGATATTAATTTCCAGGTCGTTCATGGGTGGTAGGTCTCCAATGTTTTCTCGCTTTTGCATGAACGTTTTGTATATTAAATTTATAAACAGTGCAGATTGTTCGATGGTGAACAGAACATAATAAGAGTAGTGTTGACGGTAGACCTTAATATAAAGTTTATTAGTTAAACATATTGTACTTTGACATTTCATACATATAACCACATAGCTTTCATAGTCCTTAATCAGTGTAAACTGGGCTCTGTTAGTTACTTAAATTATCTGTTTCACTAACTTCATACTAGTAAAAGTAACCGTAATTTAAATCATACATATTAGATTATAAAGCAATCTTGCTTATGAGTATAAGAAATGCTCTTTATGTCAGTAAGATATGCTGCATTTACATGTACATTTTATGGAAAAGCTTGTACCAAATTTATATCACATGCTTGGTATATTTCAGCATTGTGTTTGTACTGTAAACTTGACAAAAATCTATTGAATACTGTAATATTTTGCATGATAAGTTTGAATTCCAGAGCGTTATTATTATTTTAAACGAGATCTGTTTGGATGATGATAAAAAATTTCATGGTTATATTATTCTATTATAATCATGTTGAGAATAAATGCAAAAAATTGATTATTGTTTTAATCGCATTAAATTAATATCTGTTTAGGCAACAACAATACGAAGAAAGATATAACAAGTGCGATATAGATTATGTGGAAATGGTTAGCTTAGTTTTTTCATACATTAATCCATATAGAGTAATGCTATGCTACTAAATATAAGTCTAGCTTGAATAATTAATATTGTAAGTTTTAATATTCTCGCGTTCTGTGGATTTCCTTTAACTTTTACTAAAATTGTCAGGAAGCAAAATTGAAAGAATATAAGGAGCAGAATTATTTACCTTATGAAGTTAAGACTGCTGATGGAAAGGAGTGAGTAAAGAATAGATTTTTATATTTGTTCTTACCATAGTCGCGTAGCCTACTCAGTTCACACAGCAATAGAAATGAATAGTTTTGATATTACTTAACAAAAACACAATACATAAATAGCAATTTTTTCATACTTAGTATAAAATAATAAGTACATTTATACAATGACAAAAGAAATCTCATATCATAAATTTTCTGATGATTCACAAATATGCCCAAGTATTAGTAAATGGTTTTGAACATCTCAAGTTCCGATTGAGTTAAGGAATAATGATCAAAATACATATATTCTTCATATTCAATCCTATAAGTATAATAAAATGCTACTTATCTTTATTGACTATAATTTAGAGACAAGATATCATGGCTAAATGTCTTTAATATTTTATATTTAAGCGATGAATGAACATTCTAAAAAGTAAGATTAGAATTTGGATTAACATTGGATTGGCTTTCTTTACTTTCTAGAGAATTTCTGTTATTAGATAAACTAAATGAAGTGCGCTCGAAATTTTTTCCGCTGATGGCCAAGCGATTTCAAATTCGAACAGTTCGAAATCAGCTTCGTAAAGTTTGTGATCCTCTATCTACAGTAACGGTCTTTCACAAAGTTATTCCACAATTTAAATGCAAGCAAAAGGTATGACAACAATTTTATAGATCTTTTTCGTTATTTCTGCAAGGAATTACTAGAGTTGTTGTATATCTGCGTATATTGTAGAAGAGTAATGCTTGCTTGTAATAGTCTAATCTCAGTTTAAAAGCGATGGCTAGGAATATTTTATTACTATTTACTACTACTTTACCTTATTGGCTTATTCTTTTTTGAAAATATAAATAATGGTATCAATTCCAAGGATGGCCGTAGAAGCTCAAAATCTTACTCGGAGAAAGGTAGATTGATGTGATTAATTTTGATATAAGACAATAATGCAATAAATTAAAAAATAAAAAGAATACGATTTGCTTAGCAAATTTGTAAATTTCGCGAATAATTTCTATCTACTGTACTATCTTCACTTAAAAAGTCCCAAATAAATTGGTTAGTACGTTTATATATATATTGCTATCATCACTTGTAAAAACCATTTTATTATACTTTGTATGTATTGAAGCTAAAAGAAATAGCCCGATCATATACTATTAGGAATGACAGAATAACTTTATGTTGCTGTATAGTAATTATAATGTATGCTGCTGCCTTATTATGGTTGAAATTTATCTGATAACAAGATGTAATGTTCTATTGCCTAAACTGAAATTTGCTCAGAAAATTTTAAATGTATGGCATTTGTAGATAACGCTATACTATGTTAAGAAACTTACATCCTGCTGTTACTTTATGTTTAGGCCACAACGAATCAATGGAGCGTAAAGAAAAATTACAAAAAAGTTTGACTGAAAATTATCCAACAGATGTGTGAAGTAATTGATTACCATGTAGACTGTAGAACTATTTGTAGTTCGAATTATCTTGCTATACTTTTGCCAGATTTCTTGCGCTAGCCTAGCTAGTTTAGACAATACAATTAATTGGTATCACGTAAATATTTAAATGAGTTACTGCTATTAAACATCTCCTTTCGCTGAAATTATGCTTGGATAATGCTTTAGGAAATCTCCAACTCCTAGTTATAGCATTAGCAAACGTATTCGCTAACTTTATAATATTCTCTTATTTTTTCCTTTTAGACATTAATGGAGGTTTAATCTTATTTACTTTTATTTAATTTAACAATTCAAGTTTATCACGTTAGGCAATTTATCATGAGTTCAATAAATTGGTGGTGTAATAATAATATATTTGAATTGTTATCATTTATAAATTACTGCTGCTAATTAAGGCAACTGTAAAACCTATCATATAGGATAATATAAGCATTTACAAGCTTGAAGTTGTGTTGTAACTAGGGCATGGTGCAAATTAATTATTAACCAGTAATAAGTAAGTATTTAATTAATAGTTAAATTAATAAACTTGTTTCAAGTTTTTATCTATGATTAAAAAGATCAAAAAATTTAACAAATGAGAATTTCCCTGTAACCTACTATTTGATTTATAGAACTATACGGTACTGTCGAATTGACATACTGTTGCAATTATCTAATAAAACTGTCAAGCTATCACTACTGATCTCATTAGTAAGTAACATTTAATTTTATAGACATCGATTCAAGAAAATATTCTCAGTGATTATGCGTAAAACAATATATTATCATTTCAATTATTGCTCTCTTTAGCTTACATTAGTATGGAAAACAAACTGCATAGCCCCTTAAAAATTGAAATATGATAATTTTTAGAAAGTAATTAGGATTATCAAAAGTAAATTATACTATCCGCCTAGAATATTTTAAAGTTTGATGCCATGTAAAGTTTAATCAACGAAAAATGTTTAGTGGTGGTAAGGTTTTGGTTTAATGCGAAAGCTGAAGAAATTACAAATTCCTATCGAATAACAAAAAAATCTGTTAAAAAATTTAAGTTAAGCGTTTTAACTATATTATATATTTAATCATATAACTTTATTATTCATGTGTTGATTTTTAATATCGAACTGCTATTTACTATTGTAACTATTTACTTCTTTTGCTATTGCTTACTGATAATTATTTGGGTGAAGTTTACAATCTTTCGGAATAGCCATGGCTGACATTATGACAATCCACTATATGCCGCTATTGCATAATAGAAATATCATTACAAAATGCTATAGCGGTTATCCGAACAAGTATACTGCTATGTAGGAGTATATTAATATTTAATTTTCTATCGCCTACTTTCATTTTATATGTATAAAAAGAGTAAAAACCTTAGTGCATAAATTACATAGAAATCATAAAATTTCTCCTCAATATTCATCTTTGACTTTAATGCTATTATTAGTACCACTCGATTGATACTCTGCACGATGTTAATTGTGAAATATCGATATAAAACTAGACTGATAACGTTTCCCTCTTCCAAGGATAGCAATTTAGTATCATTAATAAAGTTAGTTCGGCATCAGATTCAAGCTCTACTGAACTCCTCTATAATTGTTGTGGTGAAGCAAATACAATCATTTTACCTAATTGTTAGAAGTTATGTACTTTGGTAGTATATCAATAATACGCAGTTTAATTCTAGATCACGCAGAATGTTCTTTTATACATCTGATGAGTAGTTAAAGTGTATACCAACTCAGCTGAATTGCTTTTAAAACAAATACAAGTAAGTAATTCAACTCCTCGACAGTTACTGTGCATATTGTACTTTGCCTTGCATAAACCCTAGCTAAGGTTTAAGGTGAAAGTATGGATACTAAATGTGAAAGGTATGAGATTGAATGTGATATCTGTATTGACCCAGACAGATAGAAAATCAATCTTTCAAGATACTGAAGTAATATATCTACTCTAATGTATAGGAATATTGTAGGCTTGTATGAGCATGAATAGATTTTCCCCAAATTACAAGGCTGTGTACCATTATCCTATTTCTCTAAGTTGTTTCGATAGCTTTTATGTGCAAAGGAAAAAGCTGAAATATTCCTTGAGGGATGGATGCATATATAAACTGGCATTCATTAAAGGTACTTTCGATTTTATTATTGTTGCATCATATGCCTTATGTGAGCTGTGCTACTCGCGTTGAATCAGATTTTAGGTTATTCGATTGTAAACTTGTAGTAATAGTATGAGACTTTGGTTATTCATTACAGGAAATCTTGAAAAGAGGTCATAGCTAAGGTAATCAGTTATATTGTACAGTATTCTATTTGCATATAAATGATTGTATTTACATTTCCATAGATTATGATTGAGAAGAGAAAAGCGTATCTAGCGGATTTACATGTAGACTATTTTAGATTGATTTGATGGAGTTTTATTACTGTTATTGTAAACATAGCTGACAATGAAAGATAACGGCAATTTTCTTCAAGTTTCAAAGTAATTCTATTCTCTATACGCTAAATTTTATATTATAATTTCTAGGAATCTCTATTGTGTCTATCTTCAGCTATTAAAGTTTACAAGTTATCTTATCCTTTCTGTAGAAGAAGTTGCTTAGTTTTCGGCACTCTTAACGAATCGTCGACAACGGTAGAAGCGGCGACGGTAGCAACGGCAACGACGACGGCGTCTCCACTATTAAAACGAGGAAATTTTGAGATAGAAATTTAAAGTTACTTCGTTCTAATTTTACCAGAGTTTATTATTAAAATTATTTGTCATTTAGAGTTAATAGAATACTCTTTATAATTTACAGTATTGAAGAAAAAATAGAGAGTTCATCGATAACTTACGAAGGCTGCTTTAGCTTCTTCAGGTACTTCTTCTTCTTCTTCTTCTGCATCTTTTTCTTGTAATTCGTTCTCGGGAGATTCGATCTCGTCTTCTTCTTTTTCAGCTACTTCGCCCTCTTCATGTTCTACTGGGCTTTATCTTTAGCTTGTTCAATAGCTGTGATTTCTTCTTCCTCGGCACGTATAGCGACGGCCAAGAAGAGAAGTGCGGCTAGTAAGACCAACGTAAGCTTCATATTGTCGATTTCTAATTATTAAACGAAAACAGTTTAACTTGTTAGAATTTTTGTAATTTTTCTGTTGTAGCTGATAAAGTTATGATAATAAAAATACGATATTTAACTGAAAAAGATTTCCTAACCGTATCAAGATAGCTTCTTCTTTAAATTAATTCGAATAAGTTATAGAGTAATAGCTTGATATAATAGATTACTGTAGAATAATGAAGGTGGCAAAGAATTAAATCACTGTTACTTAATTATTATATTATCCGATGGCCAGCCATGAGTGAAATATCAATTATAAAAAACTATTGGATAGAGGATGTTAACAAATTTTCAAATGTTAGTATTCCGGTATGACAATTAAAGATAGTCAGTTCGAAAATCTTATCATGATATATACAGTTTATGTAGTAGTTTTATCGCTGTTACTTGTACTTAATCTGTTTTTATTCTATAGGTACAGGAATGTCAGAACGATATAAATATTAAATTACTTTCGATACGGAATTCTATATTCAGCGAAATAGAATAAACGGATAGACACAATACTAACGTTTACTTTCTATTTGTTAATTATACAGTTTTCCCAGGAATCAGTAGCGTAAAAGAATAAACAACTTGTTGTTATGTTAAGTTTAGTCAAATTAGTCCACCGTGCAAGATGATCTATGAGACCATCGACGTGGATGTGGGGTACATATATCAGTTACGGTAACGTTGTTTTAATTTTTCGGTAAATATATATTGCAGTTTATAATGAGTTTCATCTTTACATTATTAAAATGGAAATAAATATTTAACCTTATTAGTGATATAGTGGTAAAGGTTAGGGATTCTTACGGTACGAGCGGGTTTATATTTTACTTTCAACACCACGAACCATTATTAATTTAAGCTAGAAATCATGCAATCAGCAATGATGTGTGAAAACTTCACAATGTGCTGCGTGTACAATACGATCTCTTTTATTCGATATGTCTGAGTAGTAAAAAATATGAATTAAACGCGTGCTAAATACTAAATATTATATCAAAATCATGTATTTTCGAGCAATTTTTACAAAATCGATCCCAAAATTGCTATATCGAATGTTAAGGATCACATAATACTATAGTTCTCTACGGCTTATTATAATTCGTTGTTCTAACTTTACCGAGTATAACAGACTATTTTTTTTGTGATACAGTGTTGGCTAGCTTGTTTCATATTACTGTTAATCTCTCTACACCCAGTGCTTACAGCAAAGAGCTGAAATGATTACATAACGATATTCGTTCGTTGAAATGACAGTTGGTTAATGTTATGTGAATTCTCGAGTTCCTGGCAAAAGCAATAGCAAACGCATTCCCTAATTGGTAATATTCTCATATTTGCCCCTCTTAGCTGTTAATGTATGTTTAATCTTACTTACTCCTATTACGTAATTTTTATAATTAAAATATAAAGATTAGATGGTAAACCATAGCGGCTATTGCTTTCTGTAGGGTATACTAGTACGGGAAAACAACCTGCATAGCACCCTACCCAAAACGAAAAAATTGAAAATTGAAACTTAATGATTTCACATGGTAATCAAGACCAATAAACAGTAAATTATATTATCCACCTAAATATTTTACAGTTCAATGCTATAAAGACTTATCAGCAATAAAACGTTAGGTAGTGGTAACGTTTTGATTTAATGCGAAAACGGAAGAAATTACGAATATTGCAATGCTAACAATAAAATCTTGTATAGAAGGAATGTTTCTGTCTAAATACACAAACTTAAACGTAGCTAATAACTGAAAATCAAGTATGTATACGCGTATATAGAAATCAGTAATTTCTACTTCTAATATAGGATAAAAATTTAGATCTGTCTTTAGACAGATTGGGAAAATCGAGTTAAGACTTTCATGTACATTTTATTATATCATGTAACTTTATTATTCATCTACTGACTTATAATATCAGAATGCTATTTATTATGATTATTTACTTCTTTCGATATTGCATACTGATACTTATTTGCATGAAGTTTAAAGTTTTTAGAATAGCCATGGTTTGCATTATGTTAATCTACTACGTGTTAATACTTTTATTTAAATAGTATAGTAGTCAAACATTCGGGAGTCAGCTGTTTCCTCAGAGTTCGTAGTCGAGCATGTACGATTAGTAAGTTAAATTTCTTCTCGGAGATTATTATAAGTCCTGCATCGCCATGCAATAACCTAGGATTCATGTGCATTGAATTACTTTTAGCTCGCGGTTATGGGCAGTTTAGTTAATAGAGAATGAGAGTATTACTTACTGTAACTGGACCGAAGACTACCAAGTTGTTGTGAGTCGGTAGGTCGAGCATATCAGCTATCTGATAGTTGGAGTACCTCGTGAGGTAACCGTAGCTCTATCTCATCACGATATACCGAACTGTAACAACTTTTTTCGATATTGCATGCAGATGTTTCTTTTCATGAAGCTTGCAACCTTTCAGAATAGCCATGGTTTACATTATGATAATCTGCAATGTATCTCTGTTGTATGATGAAAATATGGTTACAAAATACCATAGTAGTTGCTCAACACGTAAATTATTACGCAGTAATAATATTTAATTTGTGATCGCTTACTTTCACTTTTTAAATGTATAAATACGTTATTGACCTTATGTAAAACTTTACTGCTATCGTTTCCCACTTATAAAGACGGTACTTGTAGTGCTTGGGTTTTACAACCCTTTGGGTTCGCAATCGTCCAACTCAAAATCTGAATTATTAAAATTGAGCAAATCTCTAACGTGACACAAGATCAGGCAAACACCGTATTTAATCATAAAAGTATCCGTTTATTAATGGACAGAGAAGAATCTACTTTCCTCTCTCATAATAACAATCGAAAGTGGCGAAGATAAACCGAATAATCGACTTCGTCTCCACGATAACAATTCACATTATCTAACAGATATATTAAGAAATTACACAAAAACATCACCTTATATGCCGACTACTGCAGCCTCATACACACATAGTTGGAATAGTATAAGTACACCGTTTCATCATCAGTAATCGTGAAATTACCTTATAAGTAAAGTAGACTATTCTACTTCTTGATGCTATCGCACTTCAATTACTACTGTAATTAGCTGGAACTACTACAATACTTGAGTAGCAAAATTAGTTCAGTATCACACTCTAACTCTAAAATTGACATGGGTAAGTATCGTTATCTCATTTCGCAGTTGTTTTGGACAATTTCATGAGTAAAGATAAAGTTAAGATCTTTAGCGGACGGACGTGTCAATGTACCTACTGTACGTTATGCTTTAAAACTATTTTCGGTATTATTTATTGTTGTATCACATAAGGGAATTGCTCTATTGGCGTTAAAATCGAATTTAAAGGTAATCAGTTCTATTCATAAAGTAGATTAATTGCATTTTATATTTTTATAGATTATGATTTTGAAGAGTAAAGCATATCTAACCGTTTTACATGCGAACTATTTTATATTAATTTCATGAAAGAATTCTATAGTGCACGGCCGTCTGATGATTACTATTTAGTCAATCACTTGCAATAAAAATAGATTACATTGATTTTTTATGCAAGCAGATGTTTTAAATTTCAGTTTTATTGCTTATATTGTGAAAATAGTAGATAATCAAGAATACTAACAATTTACTTCAAGATTTAAAAGATCTGCTATTCTCCATGCTGCTAAACTTATATTATAATTTCTATGAATCACTACTGTGTCTATCTTCAGCCATTAAAGTCTACAAGTTGTTTTATCCTTTTATTTGAAGAAGCTATTTAAAATTTTAGCTTTTTTTCCAGAGAAACGACGCCTGTTATAGCGAAAGCGGCGACGGCGTCTGGTCCAACTGTTCTGGGAGCGATAATCGAACCAGTAGCGGTTATCTTGCCAGGGATGACGGCGTCTCGACTGTTAAAATGATGAATTTGAAGTAAAAAATTGAAAGAAATCTTAAATTAATTTTAGTAAAGTTTATCACTAGCATTATTTATCGTTTGATGTTAACAGAATAGTCTTTATAAGATACAAGATTAAAGACAAAATGAAGAATTTATCAATAACTTACATTAGCCGCTTTAGCTTCTTCAGGCTGTTCGTCCTCTTCTTTTACTTGAAATTCGTTCTCGAGAGATTCGATCTCATCTTCTTTTTCGGCTACTTCGCCCTCCTCATCTTCTACTGGAGCTTCATCTTTCAATTCTTCAATAATTGTAGGTTCTTCTTTCTCGGCATGTCCAGCGATGGCCAAGAAGAGAAGTGATGCAAGTAAGATCAACGTGAACTTCATGTTGTTAGTTCTAATTACTAAACGAATACGGATTAATTTGTTAAAATTGTTGTAATATGTTTGGGTGCTGGCTGATTAAGTTATGATAACAAAAAATCCGATTTTTAACTGCAATGATTTTCCGTACCGTATCAAGATGGCTTCTTTAAACACCTAGCACGTTTAATGAGTTCTATGGTAATGCAGGAACGTTATGGCTATATATATGCACTCGCGCAGATAATAAATGCTGAAGAAGGAGGGTCTTGAGTTAAGTACATTAACTGGGAAACTTGAATTGATTTCAATTAGTTGTACAGCAATAACTTGATACAATAGGTTATTGTAGGATCGTTGATATGGTAAAGAATAGAATTGCTGTTATTAATTATCATGTTATCTGGTGCTTAGCCATGAATGAAATATTAATTTAATAAATGATCGATAGAGTGTGTTGATAAATTTTAAAATGTTAATATCCCGTACGTCAATTTAAAATAGTCAGCTTGAAAGTCTTCTCCTGATATATACAATTCATGTACTAGTATTATCACTTTTACTCGCATTTAATCTATTTGTATTTATATAGGTATAGGAATAGTAGATTGACGTAGAAAGTAGCTTACTTTCGATGTGCAGTCTGGTATTCAGCGTAATGGAATAAAAGGATAAACATAATACATATATTTACTTACTTTTCGATAATTATACAATTTCTCAGGAATTATAAACGTAAAAGAATAAAGAACTTGTTGTTATGTTAACTTTAGTCATGCTAGTTTATAATGTAAGGTAATCTCATGAGACCACCGACGTGGATATGGGCTGTGAGCGGGTTTATGCTTTTACTTTCAACCTCCACCAACCAATATTGATTTAAGCTAAAAATTATGCAATTAGCAAAGAGGTGTAAAACCTTACCATGTACTGTATGTATAATGCGATCTCTTTCATTCGATGCGTCTGAATGGTAAAAACTGTGAATCAAACCCATAATAAATACCAATCATTATATTAAAACCTTGTATTTTCGAATAATTCTTATAAAATTATCTAAAAATTGCTCCATCGAATGTAAGCTATCACATAATACTATAGTTCTTTATGGCTTATTATAATTCGTTATCCTAAATTTTATTCAGTATAACGGCCTATTTTTCGTCACAGTGTCAGCTAGCTTGTTTCATATTACTATCAATCTCTCGGCACAGTACTTAAAGCAATAAAATAAAATAACTACATAAGGATATCCTTTCACTGAAATGACGACTGGCTAATGTCATGTGAATTCTCGAGCTTCTTGCAACAGAAATAGCAATATCAAATGTTCTCGCTAACTTTATAATATTCTCTTATTATCCCTCTTGAATGTTACTGTATGTTTAATCTTATTTACTTTCATTGAATCATCAGTTCAAATTTTTATTTGGTTAAAGATTTTATCTTCAGCCAAAAAATGTGTGGTGCAATAATCGTATGATTATATTTGAGCTGTTCAACATTTACAAATTACAGCTGCTAATTAAGTCAACCATAAGCCTATCGCATAGGATAACATAGGCATTATAATTTTGAAACTTTGTTTTAATATGGGTGTAGTGATATTATAAACCTGTAATAAGTTAGTATTTACTCAATAGTTGAATTAATCTAGTCAATTTGTTTCAAGCTTTATTCACTGTTACGTTCGTATATATAAGTTCTGTGTTTTAATGAGATAGTCATATGGCGTGTCATTACAAACGGCAATACCAATACTATAGGTTGTCAGTTCGATGAGTATCAATGCGGTTGGATTGTAAAATAAAAGGGAATTTTCGTTGCGGGTCGTTTACGTACGCATTTTTATGTAGCAATAGTTAGATTATTGCCAAGACCCGCGTCTATTTTGGATTGTTACGTTGCAGAGTAACATTCGCGAATAGAAAAACTTTAAATGTTACAGAGCATGAATTTCTCTGAACTTACAATTTGATTTGTGGAATTATATGCTACTATCGAATTGACATGCCGTTGCTATTATCGAATAAAACTGCCTGGCTGTCACTCTTGATTTCATGAGCAATATTCGAATTGAATAGACAGTAGCATCAGAAAAATATTTTCAGCGATTATACAACCTACAAGATATTGCCATTTCGTCGTATTATGTTCCAATGCCATATACTCTAATCTATGAATTATAAGTAATTGGAATTTATTAATAAATGATTTGTAATCGCTGGAATCAGCTAAATATGTCGTAGTACACTAATTAAAATATAATGACTGAATAGTAAATCTTAACGGTTACTGCTCTCTGTAGAGGACACTAGTAAAGGATATCGGTGACATGTTGCACAGCACTAAAAATTACAACGTAATGATACAAAACAGTCAGGTTTACTAAAATAAAATTATACTACCCATCTAAGTACTTTGAAACTCATATTAAACCGTAATAAACTTAATCAGCAATAATAAAACGCTAGGTCGGGGAAAGGTTTGACTTAATTCGAAAGTTAAAAAAAAATGACAGATTCTTAACCTCAAACAGTAAGAGTATTACGTAGAAAGAAGGTTTGTAAGTGGTAGAGTTTGACATAATTTGTAGTTCAAAAGAATGATAAATCCTTAATCGCTAACAATAAAATCTTGTCTAGAAAGAAGCTCTCTGAGTGGTAAGGTTAGACTTGATTCGAAGGGTTCAAAGGGTGACAAGTACCGTACTTAAACTGCAAACAATAAAATCTTGTATAAAAAAAGATTTGTAAGTGGCAAGGTTTGCCTGAATTCGAAAGCTCAAAAACACGACAAATCCTTAACCGCTAGGAAATAAAATCTAGTAAAGGAAGAAGTTTTATGATTAGATGTAAGCTCAATGATCACTAATAATTATCATATACATTCACACATGTGTAAAAATAGGTAAGCTCTACTTAAAATATAGGATAACAATTTAGATCGATCTTCGAAAAGGTAGAAAAAAATCAAATTAAGGTTTTTAAGGACTACATTTTCTATTACATTGTACAGTATATTCTGAAGACTTTCTACCCTGATATATGGCGTAAGCTGTAAATTTTTTCATTCGATTAAATTTAAAGTTAATCTTAACAATGGAGCTATCGGTGCATTTCATAATGGAAATTTGTTCGTTACCATAGTTACTTTCGAATCTCCTGTTGTAACATAGCATTAAAGCCATGTTATGAAATGATGGATTATATCCCCAAGCATACTACCGTTTAGGTCGTAAAGTCTATCAATTTTCTAATATCGACCTTCAGAATCATCCTAACATTTAGTATACATCGAGACGTTTTATGCCGAACTATTTTGATATCAGAAATGTAAATAAATTTTTTCTTAAGTTACTGCTATCACTAATATAGTATTATTTTACGAAGAGGTTATTATCAACTTGTTCATTGCAAGGGCATAGTCTTTAGGACTAAATACCAGTTTTTGACTCCTAAATTAGTAAACCTTCTTGCATTTCAAGTTTTGCAACCATGAGATGATTATCTAGCTGTTGATTAACATATACTTTGTGGATAATGATATTCTATTTGACGATTAGTTTATTGTGGCTTTTATTTAGAGCCTACTGTCATTGATGCTGTGCTTTCATTCGAATGATAATGGCCATATACGTTTATGATGGATAGTAACTTGCAGTAACAATGCTCACTATGTACATTAGTAGATGATATCCAGTGTAAACTAGTCTGTTTATCACACAATTTACTATTATATAATTATGATTGCAAGGAGCATCGAGTAGCTGCTGTTATATAAATTTTATAGCACTAAAGAGTAGAATCATGCTAAGCTGAAAGTGGTCTCATGACGGATATTTTTAGTCCAATTTATCGGCATAGCTGTTAGGTATACTCGAAGGACGTTGCCGCCAGATGAATATTTATGCAAACGCTCCTACACTACTAAACAAAGTCATGTAGCATTTAATTGAAAGATAATTTCAAGACAAACGCTTTTAGCTTATTTCATCTCTTAAGATGTTGAGCGCAATAAAGTTGCTACTAATAGGTGAATATTGCCAGTTACAGTTTTATTATTGAGCTTCGAAGAATTCTGTGCACAAAGAATAGCACCTACTTTGCTCGAATCGTAAATACAAATTAATTATCTATCCTAAATACAGTCTAATTGCTTATAGTATCATCTTTTATCTTTATCGACTAATTGCTATCGTGTCTACCATAAAGCTATTCACGCTGACAAATTGTCTTATTCTTTGAGCTTTAGAAAGAGGTTCCTAATGTTGGTTTTTCTTTCCCCACCAGCGGCGACGACGGCGTCTAGCTACTCCACTACCGATGGAGGTGCGGACGACGTATCGACGACGAAGTTGTCGTAACGTACTACGACGGATAATAGAAAGGCGACGACGGCGTCTTGACCAGCGACGACGACGGCGGCCTGCCCAACGACGACGACGACGACGACTACTTCCTCCCCACTATTAAAATGGTGAAAATTAGAAAAGGAGATCCTAAACTTAGGGATATCTAGTTGCAAGTAATTTATGTGGCTAAAGACTGACAATATATTATTTATGATCAGAGTAAGGATTGACATTAAAAATATCATATGAAGGTGTTATACGAGTATAGCGTAAAATGGAAAAAACTGGAAATTAAAATCCTTAACTTGGTGGGATTTATCACAGCAAGTAATTAATGATGGCTAAAGACTGAGAATGAACTATTTATGATCAGAGTCAGGACTGACAGTAATGGTATCAAGTATAAGGTACCGTACGGTGCATTCCTAGTTGCAATATACTGTATTGTATGATTGCTAAAGATTGAGTTTACATTATTCATAGTCAGCGTTAGGACTATCGGCAATACTTTGATAAACAGCATAAATGTAGTTAAAGTTATCGTATAGTGTCAAAGATGGTATGGATAGCGTTTCAATAACTTACGCTAGCTTTGTCTTCTTCAGACATTTCATCATCGTCTTCGAGTTCACGTAGGGGAAATTCATCCTTCTCTAAGCTAGCGATTTCTTTATCGACATCTTCTTCGGTTGGAACTTCATCTTTGACTTCATCATCAATTTCTTCAAGAGTTGTAGGTTCTTCTTCGGCACGAACAGAGACCGCCAAAAGAAAGAATGAGGCGAGTAAGATCAATGTGAACTTCATGTCGTCACTTGTCAGTTTCTAAAAATTAAATTAAAACAAGTTAATAGGTTAAAATTGGATAAATTTGATCCATATTCATTAATCAGATATAGTATGGAAAGGGAAAAATAGGATATTAATCCGAAATAGTCATTTCTCACCGTTTCAGGTACACTTGCAATGTGTGTCCATACAGCGTGCAAATGCAATGAGATTCAAGATCTTTTTGAACGTTTTATATACTCGTATGCACTAGAGAAGACAATCATTTTTAAAAGAGGCGGGTCTTGAGTTGAAAGCATCGACAGAATAGCGTTGAATAGAAATTTAATCCATTAAATCAGAATCCTTTGGTCTCTTTGGTGTTTATAATAATTGAAACGGCCTCGAATTAATAAGATATCAATAGTAATTATTTAGTTGCTAACCGTAGATTGTTTAAAGAACCAAGAGTCTAGGATAATTTTGATAAATAATGAATATGCTGATATTCCCTTGTGGAGTATTAAACAGATTGGTTTTAAATGATTGTTATGAATAAAACTATATGATTAAAGTTAAAAAACGACAATAGACAGCATCGTAGATTCAATTTTGTTAAGAACATCATTCTGAATGCATATCTGTAGATGTTAGGCAAGAATGATGTAGTATTTACGTAGATTGCACGAATTGTGTTGTGAGATTGTAGCGGATCTAATAGATATACACTATTAAGTTGTCGTCTCATTCTTCTGTTTAATAAATTTACTGATTTTATCTTCATTTGAATCTCTGGGCTAATTAATGTTATATACAGGAATAAAGAACTTGTTGCTCTGTTATCTATTTGCTATTGTTAGCAAATCCGGATATAATACAGTACGTAGACTTTGTTAGCGTACTTTTATCTATATGATATATGGCGAATTGCATTAGTGTATCATAATAATTATTAATCATGTTATATCTAGCATAAAATAGGTGGAATGGAATGCAGACCAGCATCAATGAATAGATATGACAATTATATTTACTTACTACAGTAATTTTAAGACTAGTCGTTGTTAATATATTAGCTTTATTCTATTAACAATACCAGTCTTCTATTCTATGGTATTTGCATGACCCTTAACAAATACGATAACAATATAATATAATTAACGCCCATATGGAAACTTGTTATGTTATAATGTTTTCATTATTAAATTATGACATTTAAGTTCTTTTGGAAGTGACATGATATTGTGATCTTCTAGAAATTCCTACATCATTTATTAGGGTAGAATAATTTCAAAATTAAAGGACGAGATTGAATCAAAACGATGAGTTATATGCTCTGAAGAGCTTCTATTTATTAATAAGAAACTCCTTCATCGTTTCTTTAGATACATTTGCGATATGAAATCCTTCGAATTAATTGATGGGATTACATCGAAATGGTGAGCACCATATCCAGAAGAATTTCTATCCCATCCTTTCTGTTGTATCATTACCGTTCTATTAACATTTCATTAATGCTCTCTTGATTACACTGTTATCGATCTAAATTTTAGATCGGTTATGGTTAGATTAATTCTAACTATTACCGTTCAGTGTATATTGACAATGATGGAGCTGGGATAGTTCATGAGGTACTCCGACTATCAGATTAGCTGAGATAATTGCTCTATTAATTCATACTAATTTACTTTATTTACTACCTTATATCACTGAACGTTATCAAAACTATGACCATCGGAGAACACGTAGATCCTAAATTATTATCTGATGACTCGGGACTTGCAATCTTCGAAGGGTGAATAAACTTAACATCTGTAACTGCTCGACTGAGGGCACTAAGAAATAACTAACTTTTAATATTGAACATCCTACTATTTAAGTGCCAGTATTCGTAATGTACTCGTACTAAACTTGATATGTACTTTACGCAGAACCTACATTCTTGTTATGGTATTACATTACCGTCAAGATATTTTAATAGTACAGTTGTAGCTAATATGGAAAATATCCATACTTGTAGTGCTAGATAAGATAAGTAATGCCTTAACGTGAATAATGTTTATGACAGTTTATTACATATTTTATATTGATTGTTATTATGCTTATAAATAGTAGTAAGATAATTCAAGTTCTATCTACTGATAGTTGAACTAGACAACATACATACTTAGATTAGGTATGATTAATAGGCTAAAGAGGCTAACTGATAGAAAAGCTATGTAATAAATATCTCAGTTCGAGATGTCTTTTATGGTAAGGTATAATAAAAAAATAATATTGTTGTTTAAAAATTTGACGGTTCCTATATAAACGGGAAATTTTGAGTGGAGTTAAGTTGTGAAAGTGGTAGATGTGTCTATGCTAACAGAACTTTTATCTGTACGGTACTTAACTCTGTGTATTTAACGTTTAGTATAAGAACATTTAAATCAGTAGTTACTTATAGACTTTTACTTTACTTTTCCTTGTCACAGAGTTTAAATTGTGGCAATTTTATGCTGTAACGAGATTATTAAATTTACAACACTGCTATGTATCCCAGATGCTGTCATAATGTATTTGAAATTTAGAGGATTGCGGGCGCAAAAGTGATATAACTTACGGTATTTGATCTTTCTCTAGAGTAGCATTTACGTTACTCTGGTGCCCATGGTTTACTACGTAACATCTTTGCATCTAGCTGGTGAATCTTGTCCAAAGAATCCTTAGGCTTTAGCTATAGATTGAGAATTTCTCAACATAGCTACTGGTAATGATTTCCAAATTAAAATTTCTTTACAAAGGCTATAGCTGCACGAGTACTATCTTATAGATATTATCTGATAGAATTACGCTGCCAGATATCTTGAATGTGCAAATTGTTGTATTACTCTGACTACAGACTATCACCAAGAGTAAAGTTAATAATAGAAAACTAATATTGTAGGAAAGAATGAATAAAATAAATAAATGTAAAGGTAATTATTCAATTTGATCATAAAGTCTGATTTAAGTGAGAGCTTGTATGCCGTTACCATTTATAAGAATGATTTATGGGTCACCTTGCATTGTACGATATTGTTCCACGTAGTTTGGATACGATTTTTAAAATATACTTTTGCATTTAGGCAAATATTAAACGATATTTGAGCACCTTCTTAGATATTAATTATCTGGATGTAATTTTTATGTTTTAGTATGGTTCTCATATCATAATATTACCTATAGGTATAATTATCACTCCTTAATATAGTAATATTGACTAGAAGATTACTGTAACTGAGAAGAATTCATGACTAACTAAGTTTAAACTAATGCTCAATATATCTTAGTGCAAAAATAGCACTTTGAAATGTAGATCTTTCCAGCATAAAGATAAGTGTCTATCAGAAAATGCTCAAAATTATTACTGACTAATTGTAGTCTATTATAATGAAACCGCTATAACATGGGACTCATTTTCGTTTTAAATAGATCGAATTCACAGGTAGATATTAATTAACATATTGTACCGATGACAATGGATTGGAGCTTATTTCTTTTACACATATCAGTTTTATTCTGTTATAGTTTATGCGTTAAGTTCGTATTGGATATTAAAGTTTAAATTTATTAATGGATG